CTATTTTATTTATTTATTTATTTATTTATTTATTTATTTATTTATTTATTTTTTGCCTCCTGATTATTTTGCCCAGAAGAGTAGTTAGTTGCTCAAAAGAACTTGGCAGATTCATTGCTGTGTCTATACATATGGCCCCTTGTCGGGGAGTGAAGGGGTGGCCTGCCCCTCCACACCTGTGGGTGTTTCTCGTTAGGTGGAACGAGAGACTTGAGAAAAGAAATGAGACACAGAGACAAAGTATAGAGGAAGAAAAAGCTGGCGTGGGTCCTCTGTATGCTGAGCACCAGTCCCCTGGGCCCACTTTTTCTTTCTCTATACTTTGTCTCTGTGTCTCATTTCTTTTCTTGAAGTAGGAGAATCATATCCACATAAAATGTGGGCTCCAAATATACCAAAGACAGAGTTTCCCAGTGGAGAAAGTCTGGTTGAAGAGAGTTAGGTAAGATTATGCAGTGCACTCATTTGGAATTAAAACATATATATTTAACAAGAATCATGAAGATGGAGAAAAAAGAGAGTCATTCAGAGAACCTGAAATTTTCTCATTTACCAAGACATAGTGAAAGATCACACTTAACAAAAGAAACAGAAGAGGAGATAATTTATTAACACAAAATCCAGGGAGACACTGCATGAGCCTAAGTGAGTAGTGCTCACACATTTAGATTAAAAAAGGATTTTGACAGCACTCTCTGCATTCCTCTAACCTGGAAACTGCTTAGTGGCTCATCAACATGGCGCTGCCCATGTTGCTGTGAAGATTCTTCTCTCTCCCTGTTTCTTGGGATTCTTGAGCCTCCATCTCTTCTAAGCTTGGGCGACCATCTTTTAGGGTTGAAATGGCACTTAATTTGCCACATTAGCTCTGTTGTGCAGTTTTTTTGAAAAGTTTATTATTAAAACGACTCAGAAAAATATTTTTAAAAACTAAATGTGAGATTACCCATAATCCTTGTACTATAAAACAATTACTTTCAATTCTCCATTTTCTCTTCTGAACAATGACCATATATATGCACACATATTTTTCAGAGTTCTAAACATAGGATATAACAAGTTTGCATTATGCTTTTAAAAGAATTTATTTTCTAACATAATAAACTTTTAATATTAATTTCTAAAAATATTATTTTCTAACTATTATTTTATTTATTAACTTTAGTGGCCTAATACTATCCCTATTGTTTTTGTGATAATTGACTACTCCCAAACTGTAGGTATTTAAGTTTTTAAATATTATTATTTATTGTATATATGACAAATATTGCTACAATAAAACATTTTGTGTATAGCATTTTTTTTTTTTTTCTTTTTTTGAGATGGAGCTTCACTCTGTCTCCCAGGGCAGAATGTAGTGGAGTGATCTCGACTCACTGCAACCTCCACCTTTTGGTTTCAAGTGATTCTCCTGCCTCAGACTCCCAAGTAGCTGGGACTAAAGGCATGTGCCAACACGCCCAGCTGATTTTTGTATTTTTTAATAGAGATGGGGTTTCAGCAGGCTGGCCAGGCTGGTCTTGAACTCCTGACCTCAAGTGATCCGCCTGCTTCAGCCTCCCAAAGTGCTGGGATTAAAGACATGAGCCACCACGCCTGGCCGTGTATAGCATTTTAAAATATTTTCATTTCTTTGAGATACATATTGCAATGAGCAAGATTACCCAGTCAAAGGATACAACTGTTCTGATGACTTGGGATGTGTAAAATGTCCCATAAAAAGGGTGGAGGCCATTCCCAGTGCCACCAAAGATACCGCAATGCCTAGAAAGCTTCTATTTTTGCCAATTCTGTTTTATGATTAATGATTTTTCCTGTTTTAAATATTGTAAGTTGTATTTATTGAATTAACAAGGCTATTTTTCCATGTTTGTTTTTCCTATCTCCTTTTGTATGAATCAATAATGACTTTTTTGCATATTTATTTATGCACATCAGACACAGTGAGGCTTTTTGTTGAAAAACTGCTAACCCTTTTGTTAACATGTTGTGTTTCCCCTTTTTATGTTTTCTTGTTATCTTTGTTACATTTTATTATATAAAAGTTTGAAATTTTACACAGCTATACTTATTTTGATTATTGTACATTCTTCTACTGTTTCAGGCATTAGAAAATATTGTGGGGATAAATATTTTGTATCCAGTGTTATATTTTTGAAAAATAGTGAACACTTCAGTCCGTTTTAAACTTCTGTGCCAAAGAGTGTAACAGTGTTAATTTTTCTTCGCTGAAACTCTTAATTTCATCTCAATATTTCAGAGACTCCTTAGTCAATAAAAGGCTACCTCCATGTTAGAGCGACCTGCATTTCTTTGTAGTAATTTAGGTTTTTATTTCAAATCTTCAGATTTTTAAAATATTGGCAATTTTTAAAAAGCATTGTGAGAACAAACACCATGTAAAACCAGTAACAACAAAAGCAAACATTTATAGGTCAGAGTTAGCCTGTGAGTGGTCAGACTGTCTTCTGATCTACACAGCTTTATTGCTACTATTGTGACCCTTCAGTGTTATAATTTTTCATTATGAATCAGCTAATTCTTGATGATTTATGATTTATAGTTCATAGTCATTGGCTACTGGAGTAGGTACGGTAGTTGACACAGCAGCAGAGGAGTCCAGTCTGATTCTCAGTCTAGTGGCCTTGTTCCTCTACCATAATTACATTCTTTTTTTTTTTTTTGAGATGGAGTCTTGCTCTGTCACCCAGGCTGGAGTGCAGTGGTGCGATCTCGGCTCACTGCAACCTCTGTCTCCTTGGTTCAAGCGATTCTCCTGCCTCAGCCGTCTGAGTAGCTGGGATTACAGGCACGTGCCACCACGCCCAGCTCATTTTTGTATTTTCAGTAGAGACGGGGTTTCACAATGTTGGCCAGGATGTTCTCGATCTCCTGACCTCATGATCTGCCCACCTTGGCCTCCCAAAGTGCTGGGATTACAGGCATGAGCCACCGCGCCCGCCCGGCACTCTGTTTTTAAAAACACCCGAGCCTCCCCTGTTCACAGTATTCAAAATAGATATAACACCATAGCAGACTAACTACCTACTCTCTCTTTTAGCAGACAGAAAGAATCAGCAGTGTAAGTGGAGAATGGAATTTGTAACTTTTTAAAATGAAAATTGTCTTCATTTAAAAAATTCACACTGTTCCTCAGACAGTGGCTTAGGAATTTGTAATTAACAAAAATGTTTGGAAGATATTTTTTCCTTGAGAATGTTTCTAAAGCATGATAGAATATACACCAAAGCTAAATTGAATTTGCTGAAGCCATATTTTTTTCTCTGTTTCAAAAAGAGTGTCTAGTGGTCTGGGGATTGCAACATATGGTAGAGAGCAGACACAATCCATTAACATAGGATTCATAACAACATATTGTGACTGATCTCTATAGCCTCAGAGCATATTGGTTTGTGTTATCAATTTAATCTAAATACTGTCACCTGTTTCTCAAGATGAGCCAACGGTGGAACATGGTTTAAAACTGTCTTGTCTAACATATCTGTTTCATTGCAATGCATAGAACCGAAGCGGTGGAGGCTGCTTGTTCTTTGACAAGCAGTTTACCTCTTTGGGCTTCAGTTTCATCATTTATGAAAACTGAGGCTTGATTTGATTATATGCATGGTTATGACTATAATAAATAATTTGTGACAGGTAGATATAGGAACTATAAAAATAAGATAAATGCAGAGAGGTAGAAATAAAGCTTAGGATTTGGGGTCAGAAAGCCTGGTTCAAATCCTTGCTTTGCCACTTACCAGCTGCGTGACTTTGGAGAAGATTCTAGATCTCTACGTGGCTCATCTGTAATGCTGAAATAATGGCACCAGACTCACAGTGTTGTTATGATGATTAAATTATATGTATAACAAAGGTTATATCAAAAGTTATGGGACAATTGCTCAATAAACGTTTATTATCATCATCCCAAGAAACTATAGAACTAGATTTGTTGGCAACTGGCAATTAACTGACAGGAAACACAAAGCATTCTGATTTGGGAATAAATGTGATTCTTTTAACCCAAATATCCAGTTAGATCTTTCCAGTGCTAAATCCAGATACAGGCTGTCAGTTCAAGGTCATTGCCACAAAGGCTTATGAAATTATCTTCGGTAGATTTATTGGACAATTAACTTGTAAATTCCAGCCACTCCAGAAACTGAAATACATTTCCTCTCTTTGTTAAATGTGAGCGTGTAATCCAATATGTTTCAAACCCTTGGTCATAATTTTAAAATTTCCATACTTTAATGTGCACATTGCAGGGTATATAAATAATGTCTCTCTTTAATGACAATAATGTCCTCTTGGCTAGCATGACATGTGCTCGCTTTCTCCATGTAAAATTCCTCCACAAAAAGTTAAATAGGTTGGGCTGGAATGAGAGATTTTCTTTTAAAATTTCTCCAGCTCTCAAGTCAGAAAGTCTGTTGTCCCCTCTGCAAATGAAGGAGTCGGGGAGGACCTTGAAATTGTTCCCATTGTTTTCTCTCTGGGCTTGGATATGGACTGTACACAAATGTCCAGTTAATTTTAGAGTGGGTGTAGCTAGGAACTAAGTAAGTGTTCAAAAGCAACCAGTGAGCCTCATGTCTCCTTTACATATTGATCTTGTAGAAGGGGAGGAAGGGGGAAGGGAAGGGAATTAGTTGAATGAAATGGAATTGTGCTCCAACTGTGTTGCATGCCTTTTTGAATCCTCAAAATAACCCTGGGAAGGATCCTCTTTTTAATTAGGTGGAAAGACACAGACAGGCTAAGTAAATTATTCATGCTTATACAGCTAAAAAGAAGTCAGTGTGATAACAACCTAGTTGCAACTGAATCCAAACCCAGGTGTGTCTGAATCTTTGAACATTGCATAACCCTGATCACCACAGGGTTGGGAGTGTTTATCACAATTTTTAGGGTTGAACAGGAATTGAAGGGGCAAGGATTCCTATTTTTGTGGTTTCTAAGTAATCTATTAAATAAAAAAGTATATGGTAGGGTGCCTTGGTAGATGGGTTCCCTGCAAGTGATTAAATTTGTGAACTTTTTTTTTTTTTTTTTCTATTTTTGGTCAAGACCAGTTGCCAGCTTCTTCCAAATAAAATAGCAGTAAATCTCCTTGAAACAGATCTTCCATGTCCTGAAAAAAGTTACCTGAGTGGTATCCCTTAGCTAAGCAAGTGTAGGGAGAGTATGTTTCATTTGTTCTGCTGTTTTGAGAGCCTTAAGCATCTTATATGGGAAGTGGTTCTCTGTGAGAAAGGGGATTGGTGTGGAGCCACAGATGCTGCGACAAGTCCTAGCCCTGCTCTTCTAAGGACAGTTTGTGCTCTGAGAACTGACAATAGTATGTGGGACCTCAGGGGGCTGGTAACATTTGGCGTACAGGCAGTGATGTATTTACTGGTAAACCGATTCTCCAAAACAAAACAAAACAAAAACAACTAAAAGCTTTTGTTCTCTTCTCACCATGGCTGATCTAAAGCTACCAACATGACATAAATGAGTGGGAAGAGACACGTGCATTCTGATTCTCCCCCGGAACCACAGGCTCCCAGTGGTGGAAATCGATTAGGGTGTGAGGACTTCTGTGCTGAATGTTCCACTAGGGAAAAGGCTTCCCGGAATGAGAGAGCTCTCAGCTTCTCTGCTATGCCCCAGATCTGATTTTCAAAATCAGCATAGCTAGTGTAGCCAGCATCCACCTCTGCTGTGGAGACACAATTGTCTCTGCATCTCTGAGCAACAGACATAATGCACTTCAGCATCCGGGGGAGATTCCACTGCAGCCTGAATCTTTACTGCCTCTCCTCCATGGGACAACTAACTAAATGTCCCATTCTCTCCATTCTCTGGGGGGTAGGGGCCAGTGTTCGAGGTGAGAGCGCTTTCTGGGAGAACACTTTCCTTGCCCTATTTAGCTGGAGGTCCCCTTCATTGAACTTAATGCTGATGTGGGCTGCCAACCCTGGAAACCCACTGCCAGTGAGGATGATGACTGAGCTAGGCACTTAGTCCAGGCTTAGCATTTCCTATAAGAGCCCTGAAGCTAGTTTCTGTTCAGGAGCTGGAGCAATGAGTCAGGAGGAGGCCAAATGAACTCCTACCCCTCAAACATGCACAGCGATTTCTGGATGCATTGTGGGGAATGGGGCTGCAATCTGCTGAAGGAAAAGATAGGATTTTGTCCCCCAAGAAAAGTGATTACAAGATGCCCAGCAAAGATAAATATATTTGTCCCTATTGCTACAATAGGAAGTTAACAATCTGGCAAGATATCTGAACACAAGCGAATGAAAACAGTTCACCTAACACCCATGCAAATTATAAATTTCCTCCCATAAACAAAATGATGAGAAATAACAGCAAAAATGTGTATTTTCTTATTTTTGAACTTTCAAAGTTCTAGTTTGGTCTTTGGATCAAAACAAAGATGTTTATAAAAGGCATTTCCTTTTCTTTCCCCACTATGCTCAATTGACTTGCTCTTCCCCTCCTAGGGTACCCTGAGTCATTCAGAGAAGAATTAATAGCACTGAGCTGGTGATGAAGCTCCTGTTGGGACATATGGCTTCACAAAGAGAAATACTTCCAGGTAAGTCAGAGAGACAGTTGCACATCTTGAGCAAATCTTGAAAGAGGTAGGGAAGAAAGCAAAAGTTGTTGGGTGGTGCTTGTAAGAAAAAGGTTCACACGATGAGGACCAGCTTCTTGTGGATCTCCAGGTCTCTGACCACAGCACTGAATTCCTCAAAGGATATCTTCCCATCGCCATCCTTGTCCAGGATGAGGATGGTTTTGTCGACCAGCTGCTGGAGCTGCCAGTCCGCCAGGTTGTTGCCCACCATCATCTTCAGCACCTGGAAGAGCTCCCCGTTGGAAATGTAGCCATCTTTATCCATGTCGTAAATGCTGAACGCAAACCTCAACTTCTGCTCCTCGTCGCCCTTGACGCTGAACTGAGAGGCCCCCAGGATGAATTCCTTGAAGTCCACTTCTCCATCGTCGTTGGTGTCGAAGACGTCGATCACTCGCCGCACCAACGGGTTGTGGCGCAGCTCCGGCAGGGACATGAACTCCTCCACGCTCAGAGAGCCTGATTTGTCCAAGTCCAACTTCCGAAACCTCCTGCCCAGCCTTTTAATTTCATCATTGTCAAAGTGGGCGCACATCTCCGCCGGGTAACTGGCCTCGTTTCCCATTGTGGACATCTGGCAACGGCCAGGCTCACAGGGTGGGAGGAGGGCGCAGGGGCGGCGGGCTCAGGCGGGGCGCGTGCCCGGACGGTTGGGCCATGCAGTGGGGGTAGAGGGCTCCCGGGGGCCTTAGTCGAGCAGAAGGGCAGGGGAGCGGAGGGAGGGGCGGCAGGTCAGAGAGGGAGCGGAGAGAGGAGGGAAAGAAGGAGGGAAAAGGGGGCGGAAGGGGAGGTGGGTGCTGTCTGGGCAGGGGTAGAGGGAGGAGAGAATGGAGCCTGGGGGTGCCCGGGAGAGGCAGAGGTGGAAACCTGGGCTGCCCCTTCTCTTTATCCTTCTCTCAAACTCCTTGTACCTTTCCATGATAACCCCAATTCCCCTGGCAATTATTTCATCTACTTATGTCCCCCCTCCTTTTTTTTTATCTGAGAAAGTAAGCGCCGAAGGAGAAGGGGTCACATCTGTATTATTCGCTACAGTATCCCAGAAGCATAGTGCTTCACAGGCAATATGTGCTTAGTAAATTTATGCCGAATGACTGAACTGCAACCAAGGACACTGTATGCTTGCTTTACAGACCTAGTGTAAGGACGAAACAAGGTGGCACATCAAGGCATTGATATAGTATGTTTTCCACGATTCCCTGGGAGGGGAAGCCAGGCTTGACATCCTTCTGTAACTTTTTCAGGACATAGGGTTCAGAGTGTTTGTAAGAGACCAGACCAGAATTTTTCACATGGCTCACCTACAGGCACTAACATATTCCCGAGGAATATAAACAATGCTGAATTCAGGGCATTTTTCAAGATGACACAGGTCTCAAGAACACAACCTCTGTTACTCTGTTCCCTCCAATCCATCATCTTATGCCCAAGTCACATCTTTGTTGTTGGTGCCTGGCGGCTATTCTGCAGAATACTTCCGGGGAACGTCTGCAATCTGCCCAAAGAAAACTTTTATGTGTGTTGAGAGTGACAGTAACCTCTGGATGATCTCACTTTTCTCCTTTTGTTTCAACTAGATTTGTTCTTTCTGTTGAAGACTAATCTCACATGCTCCCTCCTATTCCTTCTTCCTTAGGAGCACATCAATTACTCCAAGTGGATAAGAAACAAATGCGGTTCAAGAGCAAACAGTTCAAAGGGACTTGGGGGAACCTCAGGCCACTAAATCAAACTGAAAGAGGCAAACATTCCTTCACTTTAAAAAATGTTGGCAAGTTCTGTGTTCTATAGTTCAGCCAAAATATCAGTCTAAAGATAACCATGCCGGAATTAGCAAAACTAAGCCACTGATCACCTTATCATTAGGTCTGGCCGTTTTACTTTCCTCTGTAAACAAACGATAATCCATGGATATGTTTTAAAGCTGACTATGGGCATTACACAAATGAAACCCCTTTTTCCAATTAGACTGTGATATTGGAACATGTTTTATTTTACTTATTTGCTTGCTTTTCAGTTATTCAGAGAAATGAGCATGGTACAGTTTGGATATAAACCTATTGAATTTGCAATATTAAGGATACCACCTTAAATTATATTACAAGATGCCTAAAACCAGTGTTGGTCTCTAAATGCTACCAACCACTGTAGCCTGTGTTCTTTCTAAAGTACAAAGACCTTTCTGGACTCTCTGGGGAGATATCCAGGCCCTGCAGGTGCAGTTCTGAAAAAATCAGAAACCTGAGGGGCAAGGACAGAACTCTATCTTTTGGGCATGCAATGGGGCTGGGAGCCTCTAGAATTGTGTTATTGGTCTCATCTTGTGTCTTTGACCACAGTGTAGTCCAGTTTCTTGGCTGCAAGTAAAAGAATCTACCTCTAAGAAGTTTAGCACAAAAGATAATTTGTTGGAAGAATCTCACATAATCTAAAGAAGAGCTGAATGATTCAGTCTTAGGAAGGATGAGGATCCCACTGGGTTTAAGGAAAAATTGGAACCAACGCCTCAGGACCAGTTATGTAATTTGCGGTGTCCTTTGTTTGAAAATGATTAAGAGCTTCAAGATGGCCACAGAAGAACATTAAACCAAGTACAGGACCTTAAGTGACTGCATGGGCCACATGCCCACGAAGCTGGCCCTGCAAGGAGTTGGGCCCATTGACCTCTCTGTGCCTTTCACCTCTGCTTCTCTTTCCTTCACTCTCTCCTATGATAAAGCAATTCTTCTACATTGCAGAGGACACAACTAGTGACAGATTCCAAGTTAAGACTTTGGGGATTTTATTATCAGAAAAGATGGACTTTTCCCTGCTCTAGTTAGATGCCCACAAATCCCAGGAGTAGGCTCTGAGTGGTTTCACTTGGGTTGGGTTCCCACCTATGAGCCACCAGACATGGTTTATAACATATGGGAGTTTCCATTTGAACCTCACGGGTGGAGCTGGGGCGGGGTGGGGGGGTGGGGAAGTGGGGGCTGGGTAGGAAGACCAGGTACCAAAAGAAGCACATGCTCTTCCTTATAAGAACAGGGGTAATGCTGAGCAGACAGAACAACAGATGGGCATTAGACAGGTCCATTCGTGCTGACTCTATAGGAGAGAGGAAGCGTTTTGAACTCCAGTTTTGCCAACTGAATGGGCCACAGATCTTGCTATAGCTATAGGCCTCCACCAGCTCATTCATTACTGCCAGGTCCATCTGGCAGGTCCATCTGGCATATTATTTGCTAAAATATCCCTTCATCTCTGTGTAGACAGAATCAGTATCTCACTTGCAGACACTCTTGTGAGTTTTACAAACTGTGGGTTACAACACACTAGTGAGTGATGAAGTTGGTTTAGTGAGTTACAAGCAACATCAAAAAAATAGAATAGCAGACAATTGAAGAGAAAGTATCATCAGTAAGGGGATGTACTATTAGTTCATAAAGTTGTTTATAAAGTTGTAAAAAGTTTACTTCATAAAGTTGTAAAACTAAATATAGTATATAGATATATGATAAAGGAATACCAGCTTATTCTGGGTTTGCAATATGACATATTTTCTTGCTTGGATTATGGTAAAAAATAAAGACAGTCTGACATATACTATAGAGCACAGTGTTTTGATATCTTATGTTATAGGCTCATGCCATGAGAATAATTCAACAGCAAAAGCATTTTCATACTGGTTGATTCTCTGTAAGATCAGTATGTGGGGATAAAGTAGATGAATCTTGAAATAATAATCTATAGCAGTGCTGTCTAATAATATATGTAGTTTAAAATTTTTAGTAACATTAAAAAGCAAAAAAGTGAATTTTAATAATATATTTATATTAACCCAACATATCCAAAGTGTTACCATTTCAACATGTAATCAATATTATCATTTATGAATGATTTGTTTTACACATTTTTGTACTGTATTTTATATTTACAGCACATGTCAATTAGAGCTCATAACATTCCCAGTGCTCAGTAACTACATGTGGCCATCATATTGGACAGCACAGATCTAGATAGTTTAATAGAAATGGAAAGATTTGGAAGCTAAAATATTTGATGGTTGAATTATTACCCCAATTGACTGAATTAATTAGGTTAAAAAGAGGTATTATTAGGTATTATTAATTAGGTATTATAAGGTAGAAAGGATTTAAAATGGGACAACATCAAATCTTAACTGTCCACTTACGAGCAGTAAGACCTTGGACAAGTCGCTTGACATTAGTTTTCCCATATGAAAAATGGGGCTAATAATATATATTTTGTACAGTTTTATGAGTATTAAAACTAATGTTAGTCAATATAATAAGTCATTATCATTATTGCTATTATTACTAATTTTATTGTTACTTACCCTGCTAGTAGAGATGAAGTCTTAAAGGATACCAGCCTGCCCTGGACACTTAAGTGTACATGTGGCCATTTAACAACATTCATCAGGTATTGGTTACAGTATGCCTGCTCACACACTATACAGGTTGCTCACACACTATACCAGCATAAAAGTTGACTCCTCCTGTTCAGAACTGTTTGAGGACTGATTACCGACCTTCCATTGTAGTCTTGAGAAACACAGTAACCAACATCACTGGCCCATCAGGCACTCTTAAGGATTCCTCACTTACATTCTTCTGAGTAATTCCTTGATAGTCATTTAGAAAGGAGCTTCCAGTGTGAAAACTCTTAGTCAGCTGTATTTCCCTATGTGAGTGTGTGGTTAGGAGGTAGCAAAGGGTAAAGGAGAGAGCGTAGGAGGTAAATAGTTGGTTCCAGCCTCAGCTCTTTACCTCGTTAGCTGTGAGCCTTTGAGTGAAGCTATTGCTGTACCAGCCCCAACATACTCAACTGTGAAATGGTGATAATACTTGCACCTGCTTTATCTACTGATGTGTTATTGTAAGAATCAGATGAGGTAGTGTATATAGAAATGTTACATAAGAAGGTGAAATCTTGTCACAGGAATATAGAATGGTTACACAGACAGTACTGGGAAGGTGGTAACACTTCACTGAAATAATTCAGGTGTACAAGCAGAACCATTCTAGTTCGTGCTGTAGAGGATGTAACATTATGCTAGATCTGGAGTTTTAGTCAATGTGAAGTTGAGTTCTCATTGTTCTACGTTTCACAAACTATGTAGTTCAGCATTATTATGGGACACAACGCCATTTGTTTCAATTTTCTCTGTAAATTATTCTTAGTAATTTCCACAGAAAACACTATTTGTTACTCTTCTGTTCATCACTGTGGATTGATGTGGACTGTAGGACATTCACTGAAGCAAGTAAATTAAGAGGGTTGACTAACTGTTTTGGAAGAAACCAGGAGCCTTGATGGCTCTTCTATTTCAGTAAGTCATTTTTTTTTCCCTCAAAAGTTTTCAGATAAAGAAATATGAGTAGGTCACATGTAAAAATAACTGACATTGGAAAATCAAACTAACGGAAATGGAAATGAGACTTGAGGTTCACATAAGGTTTCATTTTTTCAAGCCAGTCAGGAGACCAGATCACACAGCTGTTCTAGAACCTATATCCTTGACATTTGGTTGGAAGCTCTCACCTTTCTGTAGCATTGCCAGTCACCATATTTAATATCTAAGTGTACTGACGTTAGCCACAGTGTAGACTGTAGAACCACATAGCCCGAGTTTAAACTGTTCCTGAGCATCAGGTTTGTCATCTGTTTGGTTTTCTTTTGTAATACTGAGATGGTGCTTAATGAGTTTTTGGCATGTATGGTTTTAAATCAAAGTTTTGCTATTTAACAACTTTGTGACCTTGGGCAGAGTTAACTTATCTGAATCTTTTCACTCATCTGTAAAACAAGGATGATGATTACTAACTCAGAGTATCACTTTCAGGATTAAATGAGATAGATTATAAGAAGAAGTAGGCTCAATGCCTATCACATAGTAGGCACAGGAATGGTAGAGATTATAATTATTGCCTACTTTAGGCTTGCCTAAAAACTCAAATAGACTGTATGCATACATACACAGAGATATACTCAGCTATTTATTCGTTTTCTCAGCAAATAATTATTGAGGCTCTACTCTGTGAGAAGAATATAATACTGACCTAAAGTGGATGCTTTTCCTGTTGTCCCTGTTCTCCTGGAGCTTACAGTTTTGGTGGGAAGATGGACATTAACCAAATTATCATGTCCATAGATGTAAAGGAGCACCTGCCTTGAGTATTACAGATGAGAAGTACATGGTGCTAGGAGAGTTTCAACAACAGGAAACTTTTATTGGGGAAATGATGATTGATCTACAGTCTCAAGAAACAGAAGTTAACTAGATGTTCTGGGAAGGAATGAGTGTTCCAAGTAGAAGAAACTCCATGTGTAAGAGGAACAAAACAAGTAGGAGGAACTGAAAGAATGCCAGTGTGACTGGAGTAGGGAGGCCAAGGGAGAGCATGGTATTGGATGAA